AATAATGAAATAACAAACGACAATTGAAGGGTGATATCGTAGTATTGAAGGTAATCGACCGGGAATCCACTGACCTTTGGGATTATTCTATCTGAAGGTGGAAAGTTGTAAAACGCCACCGGACGCGGAGGCGTCAGCAGCAGCGGCGTCGGCGATGGGGTGGAGCTGCTGGCGGAAGTGGCAGCGGCGCGGCGGCTATGGATGCGTCGGGAAGAAGAGAGAGAGAGAAAGAAAGAAGTGTTTGATTACGCAGAGAGACAAAAATGCGTTCTCTTCTTCTCCTGGTTTATTTTTCAAAATATGAAAATAAATAAAATTAATGTACTCCACTCTAAGGTTACCAAGAAGTGCACAGAATTTCCGTATTTTCAATCAAATTCGGGATTTTTTCCTTTTTTTTCTCTAAATTATTTTTTAAAATCTCTTCAAAATTTGTTATTTATTTTAAAGTATTTGGGTTAAATTTGGTTTCTAAGCTGCATGACCTTTGAATTATTTTTGGTTCTCAAGAGGGTATTTGATTATCGGGAGTTTGGAGACCCAACGAGCTTAATTTATGTTGGTCTTCGGCTTAATCCTTAAGGAGTGAATCTCGAGACATCAGTCCTTGTGAAAATCTACATCGTTGAAGAGGAAGAACGAAGCATTCTTCATAGGAATTTGGAAACCTCTTCCTAGAAGACGTGTTTTAAAACCGTGGGGCTGACGGTGACACGTAACAGGCTATACTGAACAATATCTGTTAGCAATGAATTTAAATTGTTATAAATAGTATCGACAATGTACTGGCGAGGAAAGGAAATCGAAATATTTTGTATAAGGATGTAGAAATCTCTTTCTAATAGATTCATTTTAAATTCATGAAAAGTAACGAGTTTGGAAAATATATACTGTAGTGAGCATAAACACAGTTGTTTTTGGTGTTTTGAGCATAAATACTTCCACAAAAATACATAATACACGTGCAACGTGCAGCTTGCGACCACTAGTGTCCAAAGAAGGTAGCTGAGAGTTTCTCTTCAAATCGGAAACGAAGGCTCAATGGGGCCGAAGAATTGGATCAATCTTCTCCGTCGATCCAGTCGCCGTGAACATAATCCGACGGCTGACAAGCCGAACGGTGGCGCTTATTCTTCAAAATATGTCACTGGTATTACGCGCCAAATTCTATTACTCCGCAATTCCCCGTATTCTTCATGTACTTGTGCCTATTTAAAGCCTTACCCTCCCAAACGAGAGAATCCCATTTCAAATTGCTTGAAATTTCATTCATAGAAAGAGAGAGCCATGAGTTTTGATCTCGAATCGCTCTCGGAGGCTACTTCCGGTGCGATCGGTTCGCTCGTCAGCACCACCATCTTGTACCCGCTTGATACCTGCAAGTCCAAGTACCAAGCCGAGGTTCAAGCCCATGGCCAACAGAAATACAGGTTGCCCATAGCTTCGTATTTGTTTTTCTTGATCTGGCTCTGTTATCTCGACGGTTTCTTCCTTGTTTTGAGGAACTTTCTCGTTTTGCTTTCGAATCGTGATCTGGGCTATCATTGCTGCTATTGTTACCCTGTTTTTGAAGGAAAATTTATAGTAAATTGAGTTAGTTTCGGATGAATGTACCTAAAATATATTTGGAGCTTCCCCCAAATCCGATCTTAAGATAATTGAAAATCTATCACGTCATTGATCTCATGACTGTTCAGGCGTTGTAGTTTCAGTGAATTTTAGGTTGCAAGGCTTGTTCCTTCTCTTTATGTTCGAATCGAATGATCTAAAGTATTTGAGCGTTTCTGAATCGGTTGGTTGATGAGCTGTGGGAATTTTGGGATAATTTGAAAGCATCTGTGGCTATTTCAGGCTGCTTGGAATCTGGAAAATCCCCCGTTATGTATTTTGCTAGCCTAGGCTACTAGGAATCTTGTGTAACAGCTCAAGTCTACCACTAGCAGATATTGTTCTCTTTAGGCTTTCCCTCAAGGTTTTAAAACACGTTTGCTAAGAAAATGTTTCCACACCTAAATACTTCGTTTCCCTTTTCAACCGATGTAGGATCTCACAATCCACCTCCGTTAGGGACCCAGCGTCCTTGGAGGCACATTGCTCATTGTCGGGCTCTGATATCACTTATAACAGCCAAAACCCATCACGAGTAGATATTGTCCTCTTTTGGTTTTCCCTTCCAGGCTTCTTCGCTTCCCCCTCAAAGTTTTAAAATGTATCGGCTACGGAGAAGTTTTCACACCCTTATAAGGAATACTTCGTTTCCCTCTCCAACCGAAGTAGGATCTCACGTTTGGTGAGTTAGATGAAATGATTGAACTGAAGTGCAGATGAAAAAGGCTTGTCTGGGTTCATGGCTTTTAGATCATCAATGAAGTGATGCTTGTGGAAGAACGAATCAATACACAAAACTTGCTAGTTGGTACCTTTGATTAACACTTGACACACCGCAACATAATCACTGCAACGACCTCCTGGTTCAAAATGGTGCTGCTTTTCTGCTAGAAAACTAATTCAATGCCATAAAAACGTTGGATGTTGTTTTCTTTTTGGCATCTCTATTAATTCCATTGGGTTTGGCTTGTGTAGATATCTTTCAGATGTGTTGTGGGAAGCGATAAAATCAAATCAAGTTCTTTCGCTGTACCAGGGACTGGGAACCAAGAATCTACAATCTTTTGTTTCTCAGTTTTTGTACTTCCATGGGTATAGCTACTTCAAAAGACTGTATCTGGCAAAAACTGGGGCTAAATCAATTGGAACAAAAGCAAACCTCTTACTCGCTGCTGCTGCGGGAGCTTGCAATGCCATTTTAACTCAGGTTGAAATATCAAAACCTTTAGCTTTCCGCTTTTGCAGGGCCTGAATTTGAGTTCTTCGAAGAAGGGATACTATAACTTTAATTGCCAACTTCATCGTAGATTCTTGTTTCCGTAAGACATGTTCTTTTGATGTTGCAATTCCTGAAAATGAGATAAAATCACAAAACGAGGAAAGAAAATCATATCTCTCGACATCTTATACGATGTTTGTTGAGGCTGGCATATCATTGTTTTGGCTACGTAGAAGAGTGAGTATGAATTATGATGATTTAAACATTATTTTCCACAATGCTGTGAATGAAGAGATGTGCCGACATTTACCAGTGATGTTTGGTGTTCTGGTTGGGCTTAGTTCTTGTAAAGCAGAATAAGGTTTTGGCTTCTTATTCATTCATATGTTATAGTTTCTCAATTCAGCGTGCACTTTTTCAGAATGAATGGATGAAGAGAGAACTAGAGAAAGTAAAGAATACTTTACTTTTTGTCCATCCGCTTCTCGTTTCAGTCTGTCCTGCTCGTTAAAAGAGCGGCTTGCTTATTATTGAGTGCGATTTCGAGCTGCGAAGTTCAATGAACGTTGTTGGTATATAATGTTCCAAGCCTCTTTGTGAAGTCTATGGCTTAACTGAAACTCATAAAAAATGGTTTAATAGAAACTGTGTTCTTGGTTTTCCGTTGCAGCCCTTGGATACAGCCTCCTCATGAATGCAGACTAGTGCCTTCGGAAAATCGAGAGGGTTTTTCCAGACCCTGACAGAGGGCAGTAGGAGTGATGCATTTGATGGTCTTGGAGTTGTAGTTTCATTGCTGCATGACTTCAAACCCTGCCATTCAGGTACTTGTCCTGACCATGCTAAATTTTTCAGTCATCCATTTGTTTGTACCCAGTGAGACTGAAATCCTGAAATCATTTAAGTTGCAATATCTGTGAGATTCTACATTAGTTGAGGAGGAGAACGAAATATTCTTTATAAGGGTGTGGAAATCTTTTCCTAACAGACACGTTTTAGAAACCTCGAGGGGAAATCCAAAGAAGACAATATCTGCTAGCAGTGGGGCTTGGACAACAGTTAGTATCAGAGCCAGACACTGGACGATGTGTCAGCGAGAAAGTTGAGCCCCTAAAGGGAGTGGACAAAAGCCGGTGTGCCAGTAAGAATGCTGGGTTCCGAAGGGGGGAGGGGGGTGGATTGTGAGATCCCACGTCGATTGGGGAGGAAAACACAACATTCTTTATAAGGGTGAGAAAATCTCTCCCTAGCAGACGCGTTTTAAAAACCTTAAGGAGAAACCCGAAAGGAGCACAAATAGGACAATATCTGCTAGCGGTGGGTTTGGGCTCTTACAGTTCAATCCCAATTTATCTTCTTCTAAACGTTCCTTTTTGTGGCTGCACTCTGGATTTGACACAACAACTATGATTTTACTTCAGTACACAGTATTTGATCAGCTCAAGCAGAACATCCTCAGAGGAAAACAGAACAAAACAGAACAAGGTTCATCTCCAGTAGCCCTTTCTGCTTTTACAGCTCTTGTAATAGGTGCAATTTCAAAAAGCATTGCCACCGTTTTGACATATCCTGCAATCAGGTGCACTATATTTCTTTCACATCCTTATCCTTCTCACACTGGCATGTTGAAACGCTAAAGATTTTTCTCCGCACGCAGGTGTAAGGTGATGATCCAAGCTGCACACGACAACGAAACGAAAGAACATCGTCCAAACGTCCGCCGAACAGTTCCGGGTATTGTCCATTCTATATGGAGAAAAGAAGGGATACTAGGATTTTTCAAGGGATTGCAAGCACAGATCTTGAAAACGGTACTTAGTTCAGCTCTGCTTTTGATGATAAAAGAGAAGATCACTTCAAGTACATGGGTTTTAATACTTGCAACCAGAAGGTATCTATTTCTTACTAAGCCTAGACTAAAGAGTAGCTGAAGGTGTCAATAAAGGCCAAAAACCTGTGAATAAGAAGGAGAAGAAGCAATAACATGGAAACAATGCAATCTTGTTGGTCTTTACCAGAAGAAATTAATATATCCTCTGCGGAGAGTTCCATATTTTAGGTTGAAATGCAGGATCTTTTGTTAGAGGGTTCTGTTCAATAATAGCATGACCATAGGTAATGCCATGAATTTTGTACTCAATTACTCATTGTAACATAGTTTGTAACCCTACCATTTCAACAATCAACAATCAAGCTCTTATTAATAGACTTGATCATGTGCAAGAGTTGTTAATCGACTAAAATGTTTAGTAATGAAATGCTACACTACACATGGAAGATTTTCAGAGCATACCCATTCAACTGAGGCGTTGCAGCAGTAAGACAATATCTTGGTGCAAACTGTTAAAACAATGGGAAAAAATGGAATCAATTACCTTCACAAACTAAAAATACCACAAACGGTTCTGGAAAAACCCTATATATACAGTGTACAAACCTCACTCTGATTCTGGGATTTTGAACTAGAAATATAACATCTAAACAAGAACCAGAAGGAATAAAAGGAAATTTCTATCTATCTATGCAGTGGTCTGAATCCATCCAGTTCTGGGCACAATATGATACAAATATGAAACATCTTCAATTGCTATGTACCGGCTCTTCTAAAGAATGGTTCCCAAGGGACCCAGATGGATTTATTTGGATCTTGAAAACCCAGAAAGTGTTCTCCTTTCTTACTTTCATCTCAAGAAGTGAAATTATCTAGTGTTTCCTATTAAACATCGACACGGACGAGCATCTGGGACGGAAGCTGACGAAACCTTGTTTGGAGAAAATAGCAACAGCCACATCATCCAGACTATCATACAAATCAACTCAACCCTCTTATCACCTATTATTCGGGTGCTGAATGAATGGAGGATCACGGTCTATTAGATTTGCCCACAAGTTTGCAAGCTTCAAAAAGTAGCTCTCCCCATCCCAGACCACCAAATGCAAGCCTAATGCCAAATCAAAATATCAGGAAGATGGAACTGTAAAAATGATTTTTACATAGGGCATAAAGATAGATATGGGAATAGTATTAGATCGACAGAATTCTATTTTTTTATTTTTTATTTTTTTCTTTCTGAAATCCCAGCAGATCCATAAAATCTAGTGCTAAGTAAATTTTGAGTTCATGCACAACACTAAGGTGGAATCAAGGTGTCGATATCAACGGAAATCTAGAGGTCTCAATTGTAACGTGGAAATTTGGAATCTTGTTAGCTCTTTGGGGATCTTTTGGTATATTCTCTTGCATTTCGTTTATAATTGTCCATTTTTTCTTTTCATTTCTATTTCTATATATATTCAAGCACATTGGAGTAGGTTCTCTGTAGGCTCATTCATCAGTGGGTGGGTTGATAACTCATCTCCCCTTCTTTTGTAATCTTTGGTTCTATTAAAGTTCGATTTCCAAGTTCGAAAAAAGAGAGTATAATGGAATCGTGGATACCTGGAATTGATTCAGCATTTATGAGTGATAGATTACAAGTAGGCTGTTGTCCGAAGAGAACATGCTTTCTCAGACCCCATTCATCAAGATTCTGAATAAAATTGATGGAATCCAATAATGCCTTGCAATCAATAGGACCATCAATCTTGCAGAGAGCCTCAACGAGTCCTGAACTCGTCCAAATATTGGAGCACTCATTTAGAAGAGAAATCAAGCCACTGGGATCAACCTGACCCAACAGTATCCATGGCTTGTAAAGTGTAACTGAGGCTCTAAGCACTTGAACTACCCTATAAATCTCTCCAAGAGCGCAGATATACCGTTTTCCTGAAACAATGACAGATTAAGAACTGGTCAGCTAACTTGCAACTTGCAATATTATCCATAGAGCTAAATGATGCAGTCAGTACTACCTTGAGGTTCAGATAATATGTAACTTTCAACATTCCTCTGTATGGATTCGTTCCAAATCAAAGCACCATGTTTTAGTTCTTGAAAGCAAATAAACATCATTTTGTTCCATATGGAAACATAATTAGATTGCTTCTCCACTGACACAAGTTTGAGAATCTTCAGAGTTGACACAGCGTGTTTCAAGAGCTCAACAGCTGATGTCAAATCATATTCTGCCTATCAATAGAACAAGTAATATCAAGTAATATCCATAACCAAGGACAAAAAATATTCGAACAGTTAGCTTGTGAAGCCAAAAGAATTACTGTAGTGCAGAAGAGTGTAATTTAGACGTGCTTAAAAAATACAAAAAATATTCCATAAAATTCAAAACTCTATAAAATATACCAGAGTAGAACACCCTTATTCACTGCATCAATCAAGACTTTCCTAAATCATTTGTAATTAAAAAAGGCATTCATGCTTGAAACAGAAGGAATTAAACAAAAATTTGGGTTTGTGCATTCAACAGTTAGGAAATGGCGAGTGATTCTGGAACGTAAACACTAGGAAATTCAAATTTCTAAAAGATAATAATTGGCGTTTGTTTCCGTCAAAAAGAAATATGTATCATCCTAATGCAAGATAGTCTTACCAATGGTAACCTTTCCGACAACTGGAATTCTTCATCAAAAATCTGAAACCTTGGATCCCGCAACATTTCAAAGATTTCACTGAAAGCATTTTTTGGAAGGAAAACATCTGATGAGAAGTTATCAGTCGTGAAATTCTCTTGGGACAGTTCGGCACTGAAATTCTGAAGGAAGAAATAAGAAAATTATGTTCAGGAGTTCACGGAAAAATACCACACATTCCATATGAAAGACATGGATTGTCATCTCATAGCAATTGTGTTTCATAATGATTATGAAAAGAGATGCATATACATAAGGTAAACAACAAGTTTTAACAATAGTGTTTAGTGTTTACACAAACAATCAAAGAAAGTATACATCACGGCTTAAAATTGAATAGATGATAATAAAAGAAAAGCCAGTAAGAAAGAAGCAAGCATGGTTACAAACCTGAATTTCTTCACAAATGGCTCTTAATTTTGCATTTTCACCAGAAAGAGAGGTATTACTTTGGGCATTCTATCAAGGAAGAAAATTAAAAAAAAAAATTAAACAACGTTAATAACACATATCGTGGAAGGACATATTCATAAGATTACCGACCTCTAAATTCCCAAGAAGGCCGTGAACAACATGGTTCAAAACAAGATTTAACTTGTGATAAAAATCCATGTAACAATCAAACTGTAGCTTAGTAGATGACGGCGTGGGTAAATCTCCAAGAATGGTAACGTAAGTTTGATCGGTCACGTCAACATTCGGTGACGCATTCTTGAATTCCCAGGAATCATCATCATCATTGCCTAAATCGGAATGTGACATCCTTGATGATAAATTTATTCCATTTTCATTTTCTTCAGGGGAATAATTGATGGAACCATTTTTCTCAGCTTGATTATATAGACTTGATATCATGTCATTGATAGATACATTAGAACCAGGATTCTTGTTATTACGTCCTTCACTGGTGACAGATATAAAGGTAGAAGCATCTTGATTCATTGTAAAATCATCCGCAGTTTCCAGCTCTTCATCTTCAAGAATTGACAAGGGCAAGGCCTTCCGATGACTGGACAATAACTCTGAATTCCTCTGAAAGAAAAAAATTTGAAAGAAGCAATCATTACAACCCAAAGCACAATATTTCTATAGAAACAAAAGAAGCACGGAAAGTTCAAGGTTGACAAGATATAAAGTAGAATATGCAGTACAACATGCACAGAAGGTCAGGTGCACAAAACTAGAACAAAAATAGTTAGATAATCCATATTCATAGTATTTACAATTATAAGGTTTGGGGAATCGACCCGTATGAATTTCAAATTATTGGAAACTTTGCCATCTAGAACACATAGGATAAAATTGAAGCAACTCCATAAAAATTTATCATACATCAGGAGATATGAGCAACCACCTGACTACTATAGCTAAAATCAAAAGCAGGTGCTTCAAGACCAGCCACAGATTCAACTGGCTCTCCCTACAGCCAAATAAGATGTGGAACATCAATTTCAAATACAGAGAAAATGGAACTTAAATATCATGAATATGACAGACTTAAAAAAAAACCTTCTTGTTTGATCCAGAATCTGAAAGTGCAGACTTGAAATCCCAAATATTCTCACTGAAATCATCATTCTCATTAGCTAGAGAATTGTTTAAATCTCTCCCAGTATCATGGAAGTTGCCATCCTGATTTCCATTCAAAAGATTATTGTCTTCTTTCCCCCAATTCAGGTTGAAACTTAAGTCAAATTTTTGTTGTTCATTAGATTTGTCAGAAATCCCAGGAGCGAACAAAGAAAGATCGACACTACCATTCGGAACAAGCACCTCTACACCATTAGGAGGAATGATGACAGGCTTCAACTCTTCCTACAATGAAAATAAAAGTTTTAGCATGATCCAACTTATTAAATATCTTAACCTTCTCAATATAATGCTAAAAAAATTCATACCAACTCACCAACTTATAGTCTGATGCATCAGAAAAAGCATCCTTGAAATCCCAAACAGGTCCATCACTATTGGCATTCCGATCAATAGGAGAAGGATTTAAGCCATAATCTAGATCATTCTGACCATTTTGAGAGTTTGATCCGACACCATGTTGGGCCACAGGGCTTGCATCAAGATTAAAACCGACATCCCATTCATCTCTGTTGTTAACAGCTCCATTTGATTTTACAATTAAATCTCCATGGCTATGTCCATTGATTGCAAACTCAAATGCCTGTGCTACTCCATCAAATGCTTCTTCTCTTGTTGTGTCAACCTTCAGATTATAGAATGTCAATCTTAAAGTATCATCTCTTGTACGCATAGAAGTTCATACACATTATTTAAAAGGCTCGAATAACCAATCAAGCACAACACTAGGAATCTCCAGTATAAGTTGGAAGTAATGCACAAATCGAGAATAGCTAGTAGTTAACAGAAATCTATAAATTTCTCAGCATGTTCCAGTAACCTTAAACAGTAAAGAGTTGGTAATTGTGAAGTAAATAAAACAATAATACCCGCCCGAATTGCACCTTCAATTTGCATTGGAGGCTCTATCTTCAAATGAAATAGTTCAAAAACCAGTTCTTCCTGGTATGGTTATGAAAATGAGTAGCTCCTACTGTTATTTTGAAATTAATAAAATGAACAACAACAAAACTCTGAATTCCCATCTAATTTTTTAAAGTTGTTTTACTAGCTTCTACTTCTAATATATTGGAACTCTAAGAAATTTGAAAACGAAACCAATTTATGGAGTCTAATTTCAACTTCCCCTGTTCGTTAACAAGCCAAGGACAAAAGCCTTAAAACATCGATAGTAAATTTACCTTTGCTTTCTGAGCATCACCCGTTGGCGTAGCTGACTCTGCAGCCTTAAATTCCCAGCCATCAAAATCGGCCACCTCCTCACTATCATCCTCATTGCTCTCACCGACGTTTGTCAAGTAAGAATGGAACCCATTAGGCTTCACTCCATCAGCTTCAAAACCTCTAATATCGCTTTCAAAATTGGTCTGGCTAGCATAAGAATGTACCCCATTGACATTCAAATCGGAGTCACTAGATTTAAAATCCAACGAAGTATTGAAGTTCAAAGAATCGAGTTCCATGTTCGATTTCAATGGACTTCCCGCTTTGATCTGCTGATTTGGACTATACAAATTCGCCATCAAATCATCAATCCGAACCCCAACACCCAAACCCCCTCCCTTCTTCGCCAAACCACTCTCTTTCCCAACAGACGAAATTCCTCCAAACCCAACACTAGAACCAACTACACCGGATCCAAACTCCTCCTCCTCCTCTTCCTCCTCCCCAAAAATGGAAAGCGGAATAGCCCCCTGAGACGTCGCCCACTGAATCTTCGGGGACATGTCGGAGGAGGTGTTTGAATTGGGAGAAGCCCGGGCACAGGAGAGTCCACCGGAGAGATCGAAACCATCGCCGATCTGAGAGGAATGGTCGACGAAATCCCCCCAATCGTCGTCATCCTCCACCATAGCGAAGAGTCTCTCTATCCCTGTGTTCTCCTCTGCGGCCGGTTCTCACCGTCGGCGTCGGTAGAATTGAGATTCAAGGCTTTGATGCCCTGCAAATGCGCGCGCCGCGCATCTTAGCCGGAATATACAGAGTGTATCCAACTGGTCTCTGTTATTTGGACTCATTATATTAAATTATAATTTTTTTTCTCCTATTAGTCGCTCCATTTTATAGGATATTCTTAAAAAAAAAACAAAAATATATATTATTTTATTATTTAATAATAATAATAATATTTTGGTCTATAAAATAACTATTAACTCTATAAAAAAAAGTTGATAAATTTTACCATATAATAATTTAGAATTTATACAAATTTTTAATTATTTTACGTATAACGTTAAATGTTTTAATTTTTAAAAATAAGGTAAAATTGAATTGTAGCAAAAAAAAAAATCAATTTTTTTGGGTCGAATTATTAAATTATATAAACAACTCGAGCATCCTACTCCCAAAGATATAATAACCCAACTTTGTTACTAGTAAATATTATCCGCTTTGATCCGTATCATCTTTTTCAGCCCTTTATAAGAAAAGAATGTTTTGTTCCCCTCACATTTTAAGAATGTTTATAAGGAATGTTTCATTCCTCTCACAATATGAGGATCTACGAGAGGAATTAGCTAAAAACTAGTTCAATCGGCCCGAGCGTGTTCGTCCTATTAGGTTATTTCCTTTTAAAATTTGGTGTTCAAAAAAATAATGAATACTAAAAAAGAAAGGATAAAACCTACACACATGTATATGGTCCTATAAGCGCTGAACCATCATAAAATGATATGATACGACGTCGTTCATACACATTCCAACCTATAAAAGCAAACGAAACTACAAACTTTGGCGCCAAAATCCAAACTCCTTTTCTACAATCTCTCAAAATCCCCAATCATAAGACCTAACAGAGCCAACGCCACGCATCCCCAAACCGAAGCCACCAACGACCCCGTTCCTGATCCTTCAAAGCTCCCGCCGGATGCTCCGGTCGTCAGAACCACCACCATCCAGTCGTCCTCCGAGCCGACACCGGCGCCGACGAACCTCGAATCGTTCAAATATTTTGCGTACTGCGAGTGCGTGTAGTTCGCGAGAAGAAGAGTCTGGACCAGCTTCGGCACGCATACTGGCATCACGATGGCGTCCGTGGTGGTGTTGATGTCCACCTTGCATTTCTCGGCGTAATCCATAAACTTCGTTATCTGCGACGGGCGGCTTGGCACCACGTTTGATTTGGCGGTGGTGACAGCGCAGGGTTGGTCTTTGTTGTCGTCCGCGATCTCGTCAGCAATACAATCGGCTTTTGCGTTCTTTGCGAGCGGTGGGAGGTTCTGTGCTTGTCGGTAGCTGTTTAGGCCTTGGAGAAGGTTGTCTTCTTCATCTGCAATCAGGTGATTGGTATTTTTCTTTTTTACACAACTAATAAGGTGCTTCGATTTCTTATTTGTCTAATTAGTTCAATCTCTTTAAAATTGGTGATAATAATTTACTTGAGGTAAGAATTAACAAAAATTAAAATAAATAAATAAATAAAAAGTGCAAAAGAACGAGGCAAGGCATGTGAAGTATGGGAATTCCTTGGAATAAAATGCTAATTATATGCATAATTCAACTCTAGTCATGATCAGATTTGAAGAAAACAGTTTCTTTAAATCAGATATGATTTAAAATTAAAAAAGGAAACAATTATCTAGGCACGTTTCTACAATGTTCAGACAAATTTACAACAATCTGTTAGTTAAACTGTACTGCTTAGAAATTTGGGTTACACAAAGCTATTCGATAATATACCACAAAAATCCTATTCTCGTCTTTTTTTTTTCAAGATCAAATCCACCTCCTGGTATGTTGTAATATTCTAAGAAATCTTCCTAAACTAAGAAATCTTTCAAGTTCAAATCCACCTCCTAGGTATGGTGTTTTTTTTTAGAGGTTCAAATCCACCTCCTGGTTGTTGTGTAATATTCTAATATTTCTTCCTACATTAAGATTTTGTTTCTTTTTTCTTTTCAATTTAGTTCTTAATATACATATTTTAGTCATATCTGCCTTCAATTTTTCTCTCAAATGAAGCTGATTCTCCTAGAACGCTAGCTTAGGTGTTGAATCAGAGGCTGATTCTCCTGGAACGCTAGCTTAGGAGTTGGGATTCAACTATCGATATCGATGTTGGAAGGATAATTGATACCACATAGCCGCTTTAAATTTGAACTGTCCTCTTATCTTCAATCGAATAAAAAAGGAACCAAATAGCTCAAGTGGGGGTTGTTTTATGTTAAAAAGATTTAAAGAAGTGAAGAGATTCTACCCATTGATTTTGAGATCATACTCATCCATAGACTTACCCTCGGATGTGTCCTTTCCCACCCATTAAACATGTATATGGGTGGGGTAAAGAACAACCCAAAGATTACGAGGGAAAAATATTTAGGTAAAAGTACCAATTTTGGTCCCCTGTTCTTTGAATTAGATTTCACGGTAGAGGTATGTTGTTCCAAATATACATGCAAAGCACAGAAACAACTGGAAAGAAGAAGCAGAGAGAGAGAGAGAGAGAGAGAGATTACCTTTGGAGAGAACAGGAGAGGAGAAGAAGAGGAAGGCAATGGCGAAAACGCCAAAGATAGAAAAGGAAGAAAGAGAAGACATTATGTTGAAGTGGATGAATGAAGAGTTGGAGGGTGTGGGGAATTACTATTATTTATAAAAGAAAAGAGAGTGTAGATAGGGTTGGTGTTTTGTTGTGGCCATTCCAGGTGCCCCTTTGGAAGAGCAATTTTGACAGCCTAAAGAGACACGTTTCTTCTTCCAACCTCTTCCACCTGCCCCTCTTCCCATGCATCTCCATCCCAAATTTCGCACCTCCTTCCCCCTCTCTTTTGCTTTTGTATTCAACACTTATCCAATCCTTAACAAGGTCAAATAGGATCAAAGTATCTATCTTTAGATTTTGAGTATTGTTTCATGTTATATTCTTAGATTTTGAGTGTGGTCTCTGTTTGACGTTAGATTTCAAAATATTACACGATTTTTCTTTGATCTTAAGCTTTAGATTTTAGATTTTGAGTATTATTTAGGTTTACTTGCACTTAACTTTCAAAATGTAGCATTTTTATTTTGATATTGAATTTAGTTTCTTTTTGGTCTATACACAATAATATCTTATACATTTATTTTGAGTATTCACTAATGTCCAATTTTAATCATTTGTGTTAGCTTTTCAATAACTTAATTTATTAAAAGTTAACCCCAAATACCAAAAACAAAACAAAAAACAAATCCAAGTCAGGATGAGTAGTTAGATATTTATTTGAAGATGAGTTAATTAGATATCAAAATTGAAGATTCTTTTGTATTTAAAAGTGAAAATGAAGTTTGAATTTCCTACTTGAAAAGAAATTAAAATAGGTGTATTAATTAATCAGTAAACTACATTTTTAAATAGTATCAATTTCTATATATATCAACTTTACTTAGGTACTATGTTTCATGACTTTTTAATATATCAACTCTTTAAATTATTTAATTTTTGGTAATTAGATTTTACGAACACTTTTAACTTTTAATATAACATAGTGTCATTTATTTCAATTATAAATATTACTGTAACTCTTAGAAAACAATTAAAATCTTTCTAAACTCTAGCCAAACATACGCATCCATAAAGCATGCTTTTCTTATCCAAAAAATAAATGAAAAATAAAAAGTGATAAGCATGGGACATTTTCATAATTCCATAAGCCAATAAATTGATAATAAAAATAAAAGAAATCAATTATTGTGCAACCACGCCTTCAAATTTTCCTAACCATGCCGACATGTCGTTTCAGATGGAAACCAGCACACAACGGTCTCAACCAGAGAGAAGAAACAACCCTACCAACAAGGATGACACGAAGTAAAAATATCTAAGGCCCAGATCAGACAAATTCACGGCAGAACTAAAGCTTCCGAGGGGCGAATCGGTGCCCAAAGCGATCACTGCCCATTGTTGATAATACCCAATTCCCACCGACGTGAATTCAGGTTTGCTTAAGTACATGGTCATTTGGGAACCTGTACATCCATCGAGAACAAGATTGAACACCAAGCGGGGGATGTAGAGGGGCAAGATCAGACCCTTTTTCGTGTTGTTGAGCTCGATCTTACACTGCGATAGGTAGTCGGAGAAACTGGGTAGTTGGGTGAGGTTGCTTGGAGAGATGGTGGAGCCGCCGATGAACTTGCTGATGATGGCCGACTGGTCATCGAAATCCCAAGCTATTTGCATGACGAGGCAGTCTGCTTTGGAGTTCCTCTTCATGGAGGGAAGTTTACTTAACTCTCTGTACCCGTTCATGGCTTTGAAAAGCGCTTCCTTCAATGCAAAATGATGGATATAATTGGGTGTAAGCTTTTATGAGGCAGCATTGAGAAAATGATATGGGAACTATGGAACTGTTTGAGGATTGGAGGATCACGATGGATGATTGGATGACTATGAAGAGAAGTAGTCCCACTAAAAGGAGAAAATCATTGGTTTATAAGGTAAAGAATACTATCTCCAATTATATGAAGCTTTTTGGTCGGCGAAAGTAGAAGCAAAACTATGAAAGTTTATACTCAAAATAAACAATGTCATACTATTATGGAGAGTCGTGATTTCTAACCGAACCCGGTTACGAGGTATGAAACTCTTGTGTTTGTGTGTATAGTGCTGTGGGACTAGAGGAGAGAGAGAACCATCACAATGCACTAAGCCTGCCAATAGCAGCAAGACATGGACAAGGCTGCAGAGGAAGAAGCCAAGTTTCTGGGAGGCCAAGGCCATGATTCTGCTGCAAGGTCAAGGAGCAGGCAACAGGTTTGTTTGGACAAGGGAGAGTTGAGCAGAAATAACCGGTATATAAGGTACTTATCTTTTTTGGTTCTTCTCCCATTTTGATAGCTTTATAATTTGTTTGTTGTAGCAATATTTGCTTTATTCATGGAGGGTATTAGGTTCCTGTTTAACTTTATACATCCATTCCTGATGGAGTAAATGGAATTTAGGATGCTGAATTGACAACTCTGGAGTTGTATTCATCCTTTACAAAGTTGGTCTAAAATTTTCTCTCAATCCATTCTAACCCATTAGAACTCAGAAA